ACGTCACGGTCCTTGATTTTAATCTATTCATAAAGGGCTTTTGAACTGCTCTTAGTCTGACCTGTCACCCAGGACCTGTTTGCCTTGGGAGACCCTACCAGGGACATATAGCCCCCGACAACATAGCTCCTAGGATCACTCGGGTACTCAAACCCCTCCACCACAATAAGGTGGCGGTTCAAGGAGGGGCTTTAAAACTGTGACTCAAGAAAAGTCAATGGCTTTCAGCCTGCTGACACATAGCAGAGAAAATCAACAGCACTCACCCAGCCAGTCTCTTTCTGGGTGAACTGAAATCCTTATTTTACAGCTTCAGGGTTATGTAAGGCCATTTTCCTGCTTTAGCTCATTTCAAATATTTACCCATGACCCTAACCCTGGAGCTGAGTGTGTGACATCTTATTTACTGAGAGTTTAAATGTAGGTTTGTAGCTCACAAACCTTTGAACGATGTTGTTTGTCACTCTCCTCTCTCAGCTGTCCAAATAAATGAAAAACATGGGTTAATGGTTTGCATATCTGATTCACAGAGCAAAGCATCTTTTATATTCAGTGCATCCCAGCAGCAGCCCTTCGATATCAGCACATTTGTTTGACAAGAGACACAAAAGGCGAGATCCAATAGGACGCCGAGCTTTGATCAGTGGGCAAAACGCTGCTCCGCTCAACGGGCCTGACCAGCAACAACAGTGATAAACTAACCTGTTCTGACGATGCGTATTCATCGCTGGAAAAAGAAGCAACAGGGGTTTGTGTGTGAGAACAGACTGCTGATGCTCAAGTAATGGTGATATTCTGACTCAAAGATTTTCACTGCATCAAAAAAGAAACTCTCTTTAATGTAGAAACAATAAATGATGAGGTCTGGTGATTGACAAACTCGTCTCAAACTTTTCTGATAATAAATGCAAGTAATTTTTAAGGGAGAAAAACAACATCCATTCTCAAATGTGAGGACACGGCTTTTCTTTGTCTCGTGTGATAGTTAAACATAATTTTTATGACTGTGTTATCTTGGAATTTTACACAACACAAAACAGCACACTGCAGGACAGAAGACAACAATGAAGACGACAGACATTTATAAAAGAGACAACAGGTTTTACATTTGGTTTGTGCATATGAAGATGTAGTAGATGAATAAATAGGGGAAGAAAAAATTTAAAAGATTAAAAGGAGTAGTGGGGTGGGGTGGGGTTAAATCAGCAAATAAATAATTTCCACCCTGAACCACAAGCATCAGAAAAAGAGACGCAGGTCGCCATGCTCACTCACCTGGGAAGATTCATCATAGTTGGGGTCCCGTGCATCAGGCTCTTCATCTTCATAAACCATCCCAGCAGCCCCCCAGACTCCTTTACCACCTGCCCCGCCTGCAGACCAAAAGGTTAGCTTATTAATAAAACTTGTGGACTGATTTAAAACGGGTCATTAAACACACGTTTTCAACCAAACTGTTGCCATTATCAACATACGGTGCATATGTACAAAACAGATACCAAGAGTTTCTCAGCGTTTCATGATCCGAGCCGTTTTCCTTCCCACTCTGGCAGTTGAAGCTGTAACCTAAAGGAAGCCTACGTCTTCAACGCTCCTCTGAATTACAAAACTAAAGTTTCTTTCGTGCCGTATAAAATGTGTTACTCTGCCTTTAAACCTGTGTCTGCAAACTGTACCTTTTTTTGGAAGGCCCCTGCCCTTGCCCGTTCTGGATTTGCGGTCATTGGTGTTGACTTTGCCCTTTGGGCTGTGTGGGTCACTTCCTGCCACCTCTCCCGACTCAGAAAGGGACTCACTGGCTGAGTTGCGGGATGAGGACTTGCGCAGGCGGCGCTTGGCTTTGGCTTTGAGCCGCGCCTCATGGAGCGCTTTTTCCTGGGGCGTCCAGTTCCCGTTCACCTCTGCCTCGTTCAGCACATCGTCGTCGTCACTGTAGGGATGGTTAGCCTCAGCCAGGTTGTCATCTAACAAGAGCGTCCCTGAGATCCAAGAGGTCAAACTGTTAATTTGCTGGTAACAACTTGGTTTGTGTTGTGCCACAATGAGACGGTAATAAAAGCTGTAAACTATCTTTATTAAGCACAAGTGACTTGAGACATTAAACTGGACATTTTATTGATACACTAAATGGCCCAAAATATGTGGACATTCTATTGCTCTCAATTTGTTCTTGTTTTGGACCAGGTTGCTAAATTCAAATTAAAGTTGGTGATAATGCTTCAACAAACAGTAATATTTAAGGCAACGGTTTGGCAAATCACCGCAGTCAGGTTCCAGATGTTCTGGAAAGCCGCCCTAGAAGAGCAAAGCCCGTTATATGTCCAACAGTACTAATGTAATAGTAACATTCCTAGGCTAATTCAGATGCATCAGAGAAGGATTTATCTTTGTTGTGCTTGAGAATTGATCTCAGAAGTAAATCTAAAACCTAAAACAAAATCTGATGAATATTGTGTGTTTAAAACCAATTATCTGCTCTTATGGGATATAAGAAAATGGGGTAAATTCCAATTCCCTTAAACGTATCCATGTTTCAGCTGTAGAAGACGTCGTCTCGGTCTGTAAAAGTGTCCGCTGTAAACCTGAGAGGCGGGGTACACCCTGGACAGGTCACCAGTCCATCACAAGGCTGACAACCACACACACACACCTAGGGTGCTGTGAGACCACAGTGCTAACCACTGCTCCACTGTGCCGCCCCAAGTAAGATGTGCAAAAAGAACATGGGAGTAAATTGGAACTGAGAAAATGTGCGTATTCAGACAAGAGACCTTTCTTTTGATCCTTCACCTTAAACATCCAATCACCTACTAGTTTCTGATAAAGGGATGTGATAGCTCATAAATGACTACTGCTCTCAATGCATCCTCACTCATGGCCCCCTTTCTTCCCCTCCTCACAGACTCGGTGTAATCTTCATTTATATAAATATTAGATCCTTTAAGCTTCTTTGCTTGTTGCAATATGTGTGCCTTATCTTTCTCTTTCATCAACTTTACCATCACCGCCCTCGGACCACGATCAGAAGGTTTCCCGACTCTGTGAGCCCGCTCCATCTCAATTTCTTGATGAATTTGCAGTTTATTCTTTAGAATCTCCTTCACTTTACATTCCGCTTCCATCCAACTTTCTCCAGCTGTCTCCTTGATTCCCTCAAAGATCACGTTTTTTCGCTTGGACTGTGCTTCCAAATATTCCATTTTATCCGTTATAGCTATTAAACTCTCACAGGTTTTGTAGACGTCATTCCTCGTCTCCTTGGTTTGTATTTTCTGTTCACCCATGGCAGCTTTAATCACATCCACTTCTCGCTGGGTAAACTGCAAACTCGTTTTTATCTCCTGTATTTCTCTGGTCACCTGCACCTGCAAACAGAAAAAGATGGCTGCTGCGCATAGACATGTAGTGTGTCAGAATCCCTGTTTCCATGTTGTTCCTACTTATGCCTTATATCTGATCCACTTTTGTCTTCTTAAAGCTTAGGGTTTGTTATTTTTTTGCTCAGCAGCTTTTAAAACTTTAACTCTGGGTTTTTCAATTGGTTGGTTGTTCATCATACCACTGGTTGCTTTTAGGCATTTTTCAGTCTTTTGTAAATAAAAAAATAAAAAAAAAGATTTATGAAAGCGAGGCCTTCACCTCATGCAAAGTACACCCATGGATGTAGTTGGGGCTCACCATACTGGCATTTTATAGCTGACAGATAATTGCTGTGGTACCAAAACTTTATGGATAAAACTCATGCTCTAGAATTTCCATCAGTACTTAACCATGAACAGACTATTCTGACAGCAATTGTTTGCGTATACCAAACCAAGGAAATTTTACAGTGACTTGATTGTCCTGTAGTGAATGAAGCACCCTTAATCTATTTATCCTTACACCCCTACTTTAATGTCCTTGTTTAGTATAGTTAATGACCTAGGATATTTTCTCACCTTCAGCAACGAGAAAGAAACTATTTGAAATTGCCAGGACATTCTCAGAAAGGACAAAGCGGAGAAGGTCAAAAAGGAGGACGTTCCTGAAGCACCATTTGTATCCTTTGGTTCACCATGGTCACATTATCCTTTTTTGTTGTTGTAAGGTAGTAGTAGTCGCAAAATCTGTTTTATTTACCATGATCATGTGCAATTTAAAATGCAGAAATTCTTTAATTCATTAATGTCAAGTAATTCAGCATTAACACAATTTAATATCTTGTCCTCAATGAGTGCAGTGATCAGGGACATGCATATTGTTTTGTCTTAGTGCTACAGTATTTGTTTTTTCACTGCTTGTGCAGAAACTGAAATCCATATAGAGAAAAGCAGAATCATGACCCTTGAGGATGCATTTACACCTTTAATGACTTAGATCATCTATTTAGAACACTTCAGTACTCTATCAATACCATTGTTGTTGAGGTTGCTGGTGCTCACATACATGATCAACCATAACAGTGATGTGTTTGTCTACTTCAATGAGTCTGTGTTGTTCTCAACTAAGCTTCTTTCCAGATTGGGGTCAGCCAACTCTACAGCTAATCTTCTTGACGATGTAGAGGGAAACATCAATGGTAAGAAATGCATGTCACCCACTCAGTGTAAATCATTTTTGTTTTGTCTTGCTATGCCATAGATCAGTGGTTCCTAACCGGTCTACCTTCAAGGTTCAGATGTTGCTTTGTAGCCTAACACCCCTCCAGTACATTTTTTTTATCCATCCATTCAGAGGAGACAGAACTAATCACTGAGCTACATCTCAAGTTTAATTCACAAAATGAAAAGTAAAATAAGCGCAGTTGCTTACCTGAGAAGCATTGCAGCTGTGCCTAAAAACTCTGTGAAGTGAGATAATCCTATGTGGGTTTTTTTGTGTCTTATGTCATGAAATGTGATTTGGCAAGTCATTTGCTGTAGATTTGCCTTGCTCCTCCTATGTAGAGTGTAGTCTTATTTTAATTATATCGTCTTCTGTGTACATACATCTGTGTCATTCTTACAAGCACCAGACCCACTTGCATAATGTTGAATTTGAGAGCTAAGCATGGGAAGTGCAAGTAGTTGTACTGTTGTTGGCTACTTTGGCTTACTACCTCACCTTAGTAGATAAAATTAATTTTTGATGTCAAAGTAACAGTTAGCAAAAACCTATATGTACTCTATCTAACTGCTTTACCATCACTGCTTTACAATGCATGAATTCAATTTTTTCAATTAAATTAATTTGTATAGCTCCAATTCACAACAACAATCGTCTCTGGACACTTTACATAATAAGGTCTAGACCTTAGACTAGTATAGGGAAAACCCAACAACCAACTCTCTTTAACTGACAGACCCAGGCTCTTGGAGGGTGGCTTTCTGCCTAAACCTGGTGGGGTGAGTGGATAGAGGAGAGAGAAAAGAAAAGCATGAGGATACAACAAACACAACAACAAACAGAAACAATGGGCAGGTTGATGTGGCTAGTGACTGCTCATCAGAAATGTGGAGCTGCAGAGCCAGGGATACCTGTGGAAAGGTACAGGGAGGGAGGCCACCAAACCTATCATAGAATGCGTGTCAATAATTTCATTAATTCTCAATCCTTTCAGAGGCACCATTGCATGGGTACAAACAAAGGTGATCCTGTTGACTAGAAACCACTCATACAGTTAAATAATATTCTCTGTGCAACAGGGCGGCTCAGGCCCCCGTTTGCTTGCAGTTACTAAGATGTCTGTCAGTCATATCCCTGTTCAGCCTCACTACTCATTATGGTGCATTGAAATATCAGAAGATATAATATGCTGAGTACCTTTCTACCCTCCTTCACTGTGCTACTAGGGTTATAATTAGGGCTGTAAAAGTTAATGCAGTAATAATGAGTTAATGCAAGTTTCTTTTAATGCCACAACGTTTTTTGACATGCAACTAACGCACGCATATTATGTGATTTTGATCCTGGGCCTGCCCTGTAGTTTGTGAAATCAGGAAGCAATGCAGCAACTGAAATTAGCAGAAATGGATAAAGAAAAGGTCTTTTGAATGGTAAGTTCAGCTTCTAAGCCCTGCCAGATGGTTCTCTTAACAAGATCAAAGTTATTTGCATTTCTTGTCGATGTGAATCGAGTTAACAACGGAGTCTGTTGAGTCTCAAATACAACAGACTAGCCAAGCACACAGCTGATGCAGAAAGCTTTCCTCCACGCCAAAGGCAGACCATGCGAGACAGTTTGCAATGGAGATGCCTGGACAATTATACAAGCAACAAACTTTCTACAGTGATATCTAAATGGGTGGCTACATCTTGCAGGCTGATTAACATTGTGGAGAACCAGGGTCTGCTTGAAATAATTCACATTGCAGTCAAATTGGGGAGGAGACAGTGGTGTGGTGGGTAGAGCAGTCGTCTCCCAACCAGAAGGTTTCCCCTGATGGTTAGAGCCATCGGTTGAGGTGGCGCCGCAGATGGCTGCCATCGGTTCTGTACCAGAAATAAATTCCTTGTGTGTAACATACTTGGCCAATAGAAAGTCACTTTCGGCTTTTCCCGTTTAGAGGTCGCCACAGCAAATCATCACACTGACGACTCGCATGTTGACATTTGGCACGTGTTTTACACCGGATGCCCTTCCTGACGCAACCGGGATTCGAACCCGGGGCGCCACGGCGAGAGTGTTGCACATTAACCACCAGCCTACCAGGGACGGTAACATACTTGGCCAATAGAGGTGATTATCCTTATCCTTATATGAGGTTTTTTTTGAGAGGCACCACTGTAACCAAGATACACAACTTGTATGAAGACGAGAAAGCTACAGTGGAGGAGGCGTTGGGATAGACAAACACGGTTGCGCTCACTGGAGTATGGTAATCACAGTTACCTTGGGATCCCTTTAAGGTGCATTTAGAACCAGTGATGGAACAAGTAGTCAGATCCTTCACTTACATAAAAGCAGCAATACAGCAGTGTAAAAACACCCTGTTACAAGTACTGCATTAAAAAATGTTAAGTAAAAGTACGAAAGTATTAGTATCAAAACATAAATTACTAAAAGTACTCATTATTGCAGAATGACACATTTCACATTCCTTTATATTGTATTATAATTACTGATGCATTAATGTGTACATTGCATTTAATGCTGCAGCTGGCAAAGAAGGAGCTAGTTTATAAGAATTTAATTTGAAATACTGCTGAGTAGCTTGTGAATTTCACCATAGATCACTGAGGTCTTATACTGTATTTTTTCTATTAATCTGGTTATGAGAAGTAACTAGTAACTAAAGTTACAAAATAAATGTACTAGAGTAAAAAAGTACAATATTTGCTTCTAAAATGTAGTGAAGTTAAAATGTGCCATCTTCTGGATGTTTGGAAATTTGGCTGCACTTAATGAAGCATAAAACTCATCCAGTTTAAGAGAGCTGAACTTCTCCTTTAAGACGGCGTCACATTGGAGATCAATCAGTTCCAACTGCAACTCCTGTGGCGCCGTTTCAGGGTTTTGTGTGAAGGGATATGACACCAGTTGAAGTGACTTGTCAATTTTTCCAAATTCGGAGAGCCGATGGCAGAATTCTCCATGCAGGTTGTCCAGTGATTTCTTTTAATTTTTCACATGTCGAGGGGCCTCTTTCACCATAGCCAGTGTGGGGAAATGAGCGAATGACTTATTTGACATTTGCTTTGAGAATAAAGCTAGCTTGGTTTTGAAGGCTCTGACGTTTGTGAACATTTCGTGCACAAACTGATCTTTCCCTTGTAGCTTCACGTTCAACTCATTCATATGTATCAGTATGTCCCCAGCAAAAGCTAAATCACAAAGCCGATCTGTGTCACTCAGCTCAGGAAAATCATCAGCTTTCTCAGGTAGCTCCAAAAATGAGCTAAGCTCCTGTTTGAGCTCCCACACTTGTTGACATACTTTCCCCAAACTTAACCAGTGGACATTAGAGTGATAAAGCAAGTCCTAGTGATCAGCGTCAGTTTCTTCAAGAAACTTAATAAACTAACGATGCTGAAGTCCCCTTGCTCGAATAAAGTTAACGAGCTTTACAACTGTCTTCACTATGTGGTCAAGCTGCAATACAGATTTACACAGTGCTTCCTGGTGGATTATACAGTGTAGGAAAATTACCTTCTGCTTAGGGTTGTCCTCTTTCACCCTCTCCTGGATTCTTTCAAGCAGCCTAACATTTTTCCAGTCAGATTTGGCGATGTGTTAATGTTGGCAAGCGTACTCCAAGGTAGCTTGTGCCTCTCGATGACCACTGACACTGTCATACAAGTCCTCTCCCCGCATTTTCCCCTTTAGGGATTCCATGGCCAAAAACTCCTCCATTATCTCAAAATTGTCATTAATCCCTCTGATAAAAATTAAAAGCTGAGCGGTGTCCTTTATGTCATTACTTTCGTCCAGTGCCAAGGAATATAATGTAAATGACTCTGCTTTTTTGTTTAGCTTGCTAGCTAAGTCTTCATCAATTAGCTCAACACGGCAAGTCACTGTCCTGCATGACAATTTAATTTTTTCAAATTTGTTCTTGCTCTCAGGACACAAGGTACTTGCTGTTTCTACCATGCACTCTTTGAGAAACTCCCCTTCGGAGAAAGGCTTGCTGGTCTTTGCTAATTTGAATGCCAGCAAATAACCTGCCTTCATGCTTGATTCTTGGATGGCAGTTTGTTGGATTAAGGTGTTTTGCTGAGCCTGCAAACTAGCTGCCAGCCTCTGAGCAGTAGCCGTCCGTTCTTGCGTTCAAATCAAGTCAATGTATCACCGTGCCACCTGGTGGAACGCCAGGCATTACAGGACAAGGTCAAATGAATGCAGTCATAATTATGATATGATTTGATTTGGGCAATCCTGTATCTTTGGCGGGCCGGATTAAAAGGACCAACGGGCCGGATGTGGCCCGCGGGCCGTAGTTTGCCCACCCCAGAACATAAAGTGAGATTAGTTTGTGGTTAATTGTGAGTTAACAATGGACAATCATGCTTTTAAATTAAATGTTTTAATCACTTGACAGCACTAGTTAATATTATACAGTACTATACAGTATCCACGGCATACATACAGTGCCTTATGAAAGTATTCGGCCCCCTTGAACTTTGCGACCTTTTGCCACATTTCAGGCTTCAAACATAAAGATATAAAACTGTAATTTTTTGGTCTGTTTAAAGCGCAGAGAGCATCATGAAGAACAAGGAACACACCAGGCAGGTCCGAGATACTGTTGTGGAGAAGTTTAAAGCCGGATTTGGATACAAAAAGATTTCCCAAGCTTTAAACATCCCAAGGAGCACTGTGCAAGCGATAATATTGAAATGGAAGGAGTATCAGACCACTGCAAATCTACCAAGACCTGGCCGTCCCTCTAAACTTTCAGCTCATACAAGGAGAAGACTGATCAGAGATGCAGCCAAGAGGCCCATGATCACTCTGGATGAACTGCAGCGATCTACAGCTGAGGTGGGAGACTCTGTCCATAGGACAACAATCAGTCGTATACTGCACAAATCTGGCCTTTATGGAAGAGTGGCAAGAAGAAAGCCATTTCTTAAAGATATCCATAAAAAGTGTCGTTTAAAGTTTGCCACAAGCCACCTGGGAGACGCACCAAACATGTGGAAGAAGGTGCTCTGGTCAGATGAAACCAAAATCGAACTTTTTGGCAACAATGCAAAACGTTATGTTTGGCGTAAAAGCAACACAGCTCATCGCCCTGAACACACCATCCCCACTGTCAAACATGGTGGTGGCAGCATCATGGTTTGGGCCTGCTTTTCTTCAGCAGGGACAGGGAAGGTGGTTAAAATTGATGGGAAGATGGATGGAGCCAAATACAGGACCATTCTGGAAGGCAACCTGATGGAGTCTGCAAAAGACCTGAGACTGGGATGGAGATTTGTCTTCCAACAAGACAATGATCCAAAACATAAAGCAAAATCTACATTGGAATGGTTCACAAATAAACATATCCAGGTGTTAGAATGGCCAAGTCAAAGTCTAGACCTGAATCCAATCGAGAATCTGTGGACAGAACTGAAAACTGCTGTTCACAAATGCTCTCCATCCAACCTCACTGAGCTTGAGCTGTTTTGCAAGGAGGAATGGGCAAAATTTAAGTCTCTTGATGTGCAAAACTGATAGAGACATACCCCAAGCGACTTACAGCTGTAATCGGAGCAAAAGGTGGCGCTACAAAGTATTAACTTAAGGGGGCTGAATAATTTTGCACGCCCAGTTTTTCAGTTTTTTATTTGTTAAAAAAGTTTGAAATATCCAATAAATTTCGTTCCACTTCATGATTGTGTCCCACTTGTTGTTGATTCTTCACAAAAAATTACAGTTTTATATCTTTATGTTTGAAGCCTGAAATGTGGCAAAAGGTCGCAAAGTTCAAGGGGGCCGAATACTTTCGCAAGGCACTGTATATGCAGTATATACACACACATATATACAGTACATATAGTCCTGAACTGAGACTGGGAGTTAGTTCCATAGGAGAGGAGCTTGATAGCTAAAGGCTCTGCTTCCCATTCTACTTCTGTGGACTCTAGGAACCACAAGTAAACCTGCACTCTGAGAGCGAAGTGTTCTTTTGGGATCATAAGGTGATATGAGGTTTTTAAGATACAATGGAACCTTGTCATTAAGGGCTTTGTATGTTAGGAGAAGGATTTTAAATTCTATTCTGAATTTTACAGGGAGCCAGTGGAGAGAAGCTAATATGGGAGAGATATGATCGCTCTTGCTAGTTCCTGGCAGTATTCTGGCTGCAGCATTTTGGATTAATTGGAGGCATTGTAGGGAATTATTGGGACATCCTGATAGTAAAGAGTTACAGTAGTCCAGCCTGGAAGTAACAAATGCATGGACCAGTTTTTCAGCATCACTTTGAGACAGGATGTCCCTGGTGAAGCACAGTTGACTGCTCTGGGCTTCGAGGCATCTGGGATGGACCATCACACAGGGGAAGCATGTATTGTGGCCAAAGGAATCAGTAATTCAGGTCTTTTCTGGAAGGAATGGACACCATGTGCTCTGGAACAAAGACAAAAAGGACCATTCTGACTGTTATCAGCAACAAGTCGAAATGCCAGGGTCTGTCATGGTCTGGGGTTGTGTCAGTGCCCTTGGCAAAGGTAACTTACATGTCTGTGACAGCTCCATTAATGCTGAAAAATACATAGAGATTTTGGAGCAACATATGCTGCCTTCAAGACGACACAGGAACACCCATGCATATTTCAAAAAGACAATGCAAAACTTGTACTGCACATTAGCAAGGCCTGGCTATGGAGGAAAAGCGAGTGAGTGCTGGACTGGCCTGCCTGCAGTCCTGACCTGTCTCCAGTAGAGAATGTGTGGTGCATTTTCATATGCAAATTGCATCAACAAAGACTCAGGACTGTTGCACACCTTAAGACTTGTTTGCAGAAAGAATGTGACAACATTATACCTGACACACAATCACTTGGTGTCCTCGGTCCCTAAATGTCTTTTAAGTGTTGTGAAGATGAATGGAAACTCACACTATGGTAAATTCTTTAGTGTCCCAACTTTTTTGGAATGTGTTGCAGCATCAGAATTGAAGTGTTTTATTTTGAACAAAGAATAAAATTGATGAGGCATCACATCAAATAATGTGCTGCTGTGTTTGTTTTCAGTGTAATACAGGACACAGATGATTTCCACACAACTATTTTCCGTTTTAATTTTGATTTTACATACTGTCCCAAATTTTTCTGGTTTGGGGTTGTAAAACAGTGCTTTTTATCACCTTTGACACCAGAACAGTTTGAGAAATACCAAAGACCTAAGTGCGTAATAGAAGGAAATTAATAAATTAGGGTGTGATGTGTAGTTGTTCTTAATCCAAGATTTACTATTAAGACTTTTGTTTTTTTCACCTTTGACCACACGCATGGCCACAGCTGGTTGTGGTCAGGTGTGGTTTATTGTACTTGTGACCACACTTGCTTTGTGTTAATTGTGTTACAGCAGCTGTGTCCTCGTGTTCTTTTCCGTGTTTTTATGACATTCTGTTCTTATGTGTCTGTTCTTATAGTGTTATGTTGGTTGTTCTCTATTTCTGCTGTAACACAGAAATTTCCCCACTGTGGGATCAATGAAGTACCTACTCTACTCGACTCTAAAAATGAATGAAGAAGCAATCTTTGTTTGTTTTTATACATATCTGTTGTCTGGTGGAACATAACCTTAACGCTTGATTAATGTGAAGGTTCTGAGATTTGGGCTGATAAAAAAAAACATGATTTATTTATTGGAGATGCATATGTAACTTTGTTCATATGTTTTTTGTCTATGCCTAGAGGAAGATGGTCAGCCCAGAAGAACAAATACTCAGGAAGAGAATAAACAAAGCAATGAACTAATATCATGGTAAGATACTCCTCATTTACTTCCAAGATGGGCTTCAAATGAGTCCTGTTCAAAAGATCTTGTTGCAGTTAGCGTACAGAAATCACATGATGGCAACATTTAAGATGCTATGCAAACACAACGCCAAACACTCATACATACAGTCATGGCCAAAAATATTGGAACTCCTGCATTTCTGTATGAGAACACACCGCTTCTCCGAGGAAATTGTTGCAATCATAAATTCTTTGGTATTCTCATGTTTATTTCTTTTGTTTGCATTGGAACAACACAGGGCAGCACGCTGGCGCAGTGGTTAGCCCCACAGCGAGAAGGTTCCAGGTTCGGGCCCCTGGGAAAACACTTGTTTTGGATACAGATTCCAAAATCCATATGAACTAAGTTAAATCTTTTGCAACTTATTTAGTAATGACCAATGATGGATTTCAAAATGTTCAGTGTAACTGATTGCACTTGGTCTATTATTAGCTGAGATATGAAAAACCAGACTTAACAAAACCCTCCCAGCAAAGTGTATGGTGGAGTTGGAGCCCCCTGTTTGTTCAAATAAAGCATTAAAACTGTCATCTCATGGTATAAATTACTTTTAACCATGATTTTTATAATTATTCAATTAGATTTTGTTCTTTTGTAAGACTTTAAACTGCAATATTTAAGCCAAGAGGCATTGATGAGTAAATGTTAAGAAAATCATCTTATATGATTAGAGATTTTTGACTTTACAGATGTTGTATAATATTTTATATTATCACAATCTATATGATTGTTCACTTTATTATTCTGGGTCCCCCCGGGACCTTTCTGTGTGGAGTTTGCAGCACTACGCCGGCGTCGAGTATCCCCCCCCCCCCGCCCGGTGACCCTGTTCAGGGACTAAATGGTAGAAAATGAATGAATGAATGGAACACAAAAACCTGAAGAAAAAAAGCCAAATCTGATATATTCCACAGAGAATTCCAAAAATGGTCTGGACAGATAGAAGAATTTAGGAACCTACTGCCTACTGAAGCATATTTTGCTGAATAATGCTCATCACAGGTTCTGTTTGTTTCCACTACACTCCGCCCACTTTGGAGATGTGTTCTGGGAGCTAAATTTCGCGAACCCACAGGAGTAGAACTAAAATTGAGTAATAGGAACACGAGGGGGAAGGGTGTGCGAACACGCAGAGCAGTCGCAGGGAATTCGCACCTCAAGCACTAGCATTACAAGCATGGTGTGTAAACACACAGCTAACTGTGTGTGTGAGAAGGGTGCAACCTCTCCTCCTCTAAATAGAGACCGACAGAGAGAAAATACAGTGGAAAAACCAAGCACAATAGTCCGCATCAACCCTGGAGGCTATGCTCGGCAGTGATTCAGGGAAGTATGGTGTATACCACTCGTTAGGTTCCAGTAGTGGAACACAACACTAGAGAAACCCTAAACCCACCAAAGAAGGCATTTTTACAACTCATGTCAGCTCTGACACAGAACAGACCAAGCAAGGGCTCATCTTCCCTCTCATAGAAAACACTTGTTTTGGATACAGATTCCAAAATCCATATAAACTAAGTTAAATCTTTTGCAACTTATTTAGTAATGACCAATGATGGATTTCAAAATGTTCAGTGTAACTGATTGCACTTGGTCTATTATTAGCTGAGATATGAAAAACCAGACTTAACAAAACCCTCCCAGCAAAGTGTATGGTGGAGTTGGAGCCCCCTGTTTGTTCAAATAGAGCATTAAAACTGTCATCTCATGGTATAAATTACTTTTAACCATGATTTTTATAATTATTCAATTAGATTTTGTTCTTTTGTAAGACTTTAAACTGCAATATTTAAGCCAAGAGGCATTGATGAGTAAATGTTAAGAAAATCATCTTATATGATTAGAGATTTTTGACTTTACAGATGTTGTATAATATTTTATATTATCACAATCTATATGATTGTTCACTTTATTATTCTTATATCTTGATTTATAAATGGAGCATGGTAAAATGAGTGTATAATGTAAAACACTGAGTAATTAAATTTATATTTAAAAACCCTCATTTTCCCTCATCCCTAACAGAGAAATCTGAGACCAATACTATCCAGGAGACACCTCCTCCATGGGCTCACGTCACAAACTTTTGTCTTTTGTCCATACCTTGTGCCATTAACTTTCTGTTCTTTTGTGCACATTCCTTGTTTTTCCTCTTCATTATAGTGTTTTTGTTGTAACTTTGTATTTTTATATTGTCCCGGCAACAAACCAAGCCAGTGTTATTTCAAATGAAACCATCGCTGTAGAGCTATTATCTTAGCTTTGAGCTGAATCAGTTTTATTTGCAAGTTACTGTATGTACATATACATGTCATTTGTCTCTGCCTTAGTGCCCACTCAAGTGGCTTTTATGCCCTCCGATAATGTATGGAATTAAAGGCCAGATGTCCTTGCTCTTCAAATTATGAAAATTATGGCCTGGTTTTGATGGTTCCTGAACTCATTTTAATCTTGCTGGGTTAGAAGGGAAGGATTTGTAGCCTAAGTGTAGCAGCACTTTATAATGTAATGACTTTAGTCAGCTGAGAAATTCACGTTTCTAACATCATTTGACATGAACAGCAAGCTTGTCTTAAATCTGTTCTTGATCAGTGTAACAAATCAGTCACAAAACAACAGTTCTGGGTCTGTTGATCAGCAAGCGATACTGATATGATCAGCTCTCCACTGTGTCCTCTGTCAGGGAAGGATACCACTTGGTCATGAAGTCAAAGCAGTGCATGTCTGAGTTCTTAAGTCCCTCAGGCAGGCCACAGTCATTAATATTATTACAAAGGTTGCAACTTTAGTTGTCATTGAAACTGTGTTCCCCTCCTTGAACCGCCACCTTATTGTGGTGGAGGGGTTTGAGTACCCGAGTGATCCTAGGAGCTATGTTGTCGAGGGCTATATGTCCCTGGTAGGGTCTCCCAAAGCAAACAGGTCCTGGGTGACGGGTCAGACTAAGAGTGGTTCAAAAGCCCTTTATGAATAGATTAAAATCAAGGACCGTGACGTCGCCCGGCATGGCGCAGCCGGGGCCCCCCCCTGTAGCCAGGCCCGGGGTTGGGGCTCGAATGCAAGCGCCTGGTGGCCGGGCCTCCCCTCACGGGGCCCAGCCGGGCTCAGCCCGAACGAGCGACGTGGGGACGTCCTCCCGTGGGCCCACCACCTGCAGGAGGATCCGTAAGGGGCTGGTGCACAGTGGATTGGGCAGCAGTCGAAGGCAGGGGCCCCGACAACCCGATCTCTGGACACGGAGACTTGCCCTGGGGACATGGAATGTCACCTCACTGGTGGGGAAGGAGCCTGAGCTTGTGCAGGAGGGTGAGAGGGAGCGGG